TGGGAGTCCACAAACCAATGGGTGACGTCACAGTGGCTTCTACCATTACATTTATACATCTTATGCTTCAAATCAGTTAATATATCAGTGTTTCCTGCAGCCCTTAGTGGCTGAAACTAATTTAACTGCAGGTTTAATTCAATGCAATTTGCACAGACATTTTTTGTTACATGAAGTGCTATCAAGCAATAGTGACCACATATAATATTTCAATGCATTGCTCACTTTGCCTTTAAGTATGTAAGCCGGAGCAAAGAGTTTCCTATAGTTGTGGTTGGATCGGCTGCATATATGCCATTATATTTGACTGACAGTTGAGCAATCATGATAGCATAAATGGGACAAGGTGAACTCTCCTTATTCTTCCTTCTGCAGACAGTTATTTCTTATCAGCTAGAATGTGTCATGGTCTACTTTGGGTGTGCTTAACTTCCCCTGACCTTTAAAAGGGCTGATTATTTCCATCCACAATCTTCACTCGGCAATACGCTGCCAGCACAAAAGGATATTAGGCCCAGACCTGCTGGTCTGATAATTCCAGCTCTTGGTATGGAACTGAGGGGAGACCAAACCACAATGCCCTGCCACTCTATTATCATTTCACTGCCTCCACCTTCACTTTCACCACTGCTATTCTATCACCTTTCACCTCACAGGGTGTGCAGCTTTTTCAGGAGCTGAAGAGTTCTCCGTGCGGCCCGTTTTATTACATCTTAAAAGTACTTTGTATTCACAGTAATTAACTTCTCTTTCATGCATCACCCTCCCGGGACAAACCACACAGCTTTGCATAGCCCAGAATACTTTGTAGCTGTGTAAATCTCCTTCGAATTGGGAGACTCCCCGCGCCTCCAGCTCCCCTGACAGCACTATTTGATAGAAATAGAGAGAATCTCAAAGGGTACCAACAGGTCTAAATGTTTAATAGATTCTTATTTTACTTGTGGTAATCTCGTAATCAGAGGTTCGCGGGGGTTACATCTATCACCTAGGGAACAAATAAAAGTCTTATTGTGTCCTGCTCCCTTTCACCTCAGGAGGAAATGTGAACCAGATAAATAATGGCCTTGTTTCAAGAGACTCAATCTATTGCCAACGATTTGTGGCCAACAAAGTAATTTCGATAGCGTTCTTTGTATTGATAGATGGAGCCTAAATTTGATAAAGAGCCAATTTACTCGTGAGGGGTGTAAGAATGGAACTGCGGTTATCTTTGCTCTTTTTTCTGTCTTTGCCTCAATCCTACCAATTCAGCTCAAAATTAGATGGAAAGAAAAGGACAAACAGCACAAAGGGTAATATTTTTGACAAAGCTTTGGTACTAACCACTTCCATTACTTTTCAATACCAATAATCCATGTGAGTTGTTTCATCACACACACTGTTGAGAGAGGTGACTGTATCAGTGTGAAATGTTTGTGACTTTGTGAGTTCATTTTTTGGCTGAATGTTTAGCTTTAACAGAGGACCAAAAAACAGTACACAGGCTCAGCAGTTCGGGTCATATTAACTTGTGCATTTCCTCTATTTCCTCAGAAAGAAAACAAATTAAAAAGCCGTTTCAAACCTTACATTTTGATGACTAGTGGCACTGAAAATGCAATGCTTGGTGAACAACCTTGACACTTGCTGTGCCATGAAGATGTTCTGAAACTTCCTCAAGAACCTGCATGAATGCCAAACCTCAGAGCTAAGGGGAACCCTGCAGCTGGGATACATTTTCCTCTGTTTTTTCATGGCTAAACACCGGATGTGTTGCCACCTACTGTTGCCGTTGTCTGACAAGAAACAGTATGCTCTTGTGACCACATGGTGGAAAAGGTACAAATTAACTTCAGAGTGGAAAAGAGAGACTGTCTGCTTCACCGGGGAACCCCCTGACAGGTGTGTACAGAAAGACTTTAGGCGCTAATCACTGGCAGATTTGTAAAAGGTGAGGTAAAGTAGATTATTCATGAGCGCATGGCTCGAATATCCAGGGTAAATTGAGCGTGTTTGGAAAATAGCAAAAGAGACTTCAGCCACATTAGGCGGATTCTGAGCAGGCCGCCATCCGTTCAGGGAACAATGCTTTATTGATCGGGTGACTTGAATGTGAAAATAAAAAGGTCTTGAAAGTGACAAAATTAATCAAACCTTGATTAAATTACTACAGTCTGTTTTCCACTTCAGCGGAGGAGGCAAATGAATTCTCCCAGAGCTGTTTGTTTGCATTGCCCATGTCTACATTTACATGATGGCTTATGTTTGCCTCCATGCATGTGTAAAACCGTGCACTCATGCATGTGCTGTGTAATAGCAGATGTGTCCCACTGATTCTAAGCTCAAAGAACTGGTGTATGGGCCTGTGATGCACTGCTGCCACCTAAAGACAGAGCTTGAATCAACCATTATTTGGTCAGCAATCATACATCATACTGTTCTTTACTGATACACACAATACTGCGGCCATTAAAGTTATTCCTATCTTGTTTATTTATTACTCTTCTAACATCTTTTTTACACATTTACACAGATTATGCAATAATCTGTTTCCTGTGCCTTATAATTACAATACAGATACAGTATGATTTTCATATAAAGTGCTGGTTCAAACCCTATTATCCAAACATCCCATATTTACCACATCCTCTTTGTTATGATACAATTCACCATTCAAATAAAAAGTATTTCACTTATTTTACTTATGGTCAGGTCACGCTTTTAAGAGGGATGTGTCAGTTTAACTCCTGTGTCCTCCTCAATAAGACATAATGCATTACAGTGTGTCAGCAACAACATATGCTGTGTTAAAATGCACTGTCATTAACATACGCTGTGCTCGAAATCAGACTCACGGATGTGTTAAAAATGACATCTTTTGTAAGAGAGTGCTCCTCGGCGGCTCTCAAAGCAAGCCATCTGTCACCAAACCCAGACACGGCAGGGGTTTGTTTGCTAAACAGGACAAAGGCGACTGTTATCAACCAGATGCTGTCAGCATAATGGAGCAGTTGTCAAAAAAAATCTGAAAGCTGCTGTCTTGGACTAATGTACCATATGGACAAAGTACTTTTTTGTTAGAACTGTTGTTGTTGGTGGTGAAATATCTTGTTGGTCAGATGTTGTCAATTCATCGAATTTAAAATGCCAAATGGCAATCATTGACTTCATCTCTGGAAGAAACAGACATAATGAAAAATGGGCTGTTATTATGGTTTGTCAGATGTGTGACGGAACATGTTTGTGAGATATGATCTGTGAAATTTGACATGTATAGTCATTTAACACATTATGTTATACAAGGAAAAACTGTTTCATTGATTAAACTTGCTGATTGACTTGCTTAATTACTAACAGGGGGAATTCATTTTGTCTGACATATCTTCATAGTTTACATTTGGGATGTCTGTTTTAAAGGCAATGTTTTTCAAATAGTATGCTATTTCCTGTGTATCCTTTGTAATTATCCAAGCTTATCACATCAGTTTTGATGGTATACCTGGCAATATGCCTCCGGGCAAATACTGTGCTATCTGCCAGATGCTGTTGAAATTTTTATGTGTCGTGTTGGTGTAAGCTCCACAGGTGAGCACCATTATTTTAGGACACCCTAACCACCCACAACAAGTAGTACTGAGTAATAATATTAGTATGTTTGTTTGTTTGTTTGTTTGTTTGTTTTGACCCTTCCTGAAGCTACCATTGTTTTTCCTGGAGCTTCCTTCACTGTCTTGCAGAAAATGCAATAATATAGGAATTAGATTTTTAAAACTTACCCTTTAATGTTTGAAAATAAAAAGTTAAAAGTTGAAGACAAAATCCAAATTTTAAATAAAATGTAGAATAAAGACATTTTTATGAAATGTCACTTTTTTTTCTTAACCCCCTGAGACCCTGTGTCTTCTTATGTGGACATCACATTTTGGGTTTATCAATCTTATACTTCATTCTACTTAACTTGGACCTGTTGTCTTTGTTTGTGGACACTTTTTTGTGCCATCTAGTGATAGTATGAGCACAATACACTAATCCATGTAAAAACAAGATGGCAGCCATTTCTGCTAAGTCAGTCTGCTGCCGATCCTGACACAGGACAAGGTCCAAAACCTGATCACATTTTATGGGCAGAAACTTGTTTATTTATGATTTAAAATGTTTGTAACTTAATATGGCAACAAATTTGACCAATTTTAGCAACAGTAACAAGCTAACACTAGTAGTTAACACTGTTAATTAGGAAGTACTCATTTGAAGACATTGGGACATTGTTGTCTCATTTTAGGACACTGGGACTTGATTGTCGTTGACAGTGTTCAGGTTTTTATACTTATTGGGTCCTACTGATCCCAAATAGCTAGGAGAAATTAAAAATGCATGCCAAACAAAAGTTGGGTCTCTCAGGAGGTTAGGGATGTATCCAAAGACCGTTGAACATTTGAAAATCCAATGGTAATTTCTCGTTCCACAGTTTCTGACTATGATAAAAGGTGTAATTCTGGTAATTTTTGAATTATTAAAAAAATGCAAGGCATGTTTTTTTTTTTTTTTTAATCTGTGGCACAATAAACACAAAATACAACCATTTAAATTTGTATGCCCCTCCCTTAAGCGAAAATAAAAAATATTAGTCCCTCCCTTGTGCTTAAAAATTATTTGAGGTGCCTCCGACTTTTTGAACCACCCCCTCCCCCCTCATAAATAACGGTCCCTAAGTACAAAGTAATTGCTACTCTATTTTTACACATAATGTTCCCTTGAGAATGAAAAACTAGCCTACTGACATCCCGGTAAAAGAAAGATATAAAGATCTGCCTCCTAATCTCAGCCATGGATTATTAAAAGTAATACGGATTATTAAAAGTAATATCTCAGATGCCTGTTTGCTTACTCATTTATTCACGGTTCTCCTTGTAAGTTTTAAACTGGACACACCTTGTTCTGTGCAGAAAAGATTAGCTATTTTTCAAGGACCGATCGTAAAGAGGAACCTTAGTTATCGTTGTGCTTGACAGGGGAATGAAAATACTGTCGGACCATTGAGTGAGTGAAGCTCGAAGTTACCTGTTCCGACGTTAAACGACTGACGTGAGTGTCCGAGTGAGTTTCTGTTTACTTTCCTTGTACAAGTATTGTATCTCAAACACTTTAATTCATAACGTAGCACTTAAATAAGCAATAAATTTAACGTTGGATATAAGTGCTAGCGTGACTGTGACGTTAGCAATTGTCCTGCTAAGTTAGCTAACTGGCTATAATAGAACTTTGTTCTTAGCCCATAAGGCCGCGTGTTAGCTGGTTACCGTGATGTTCAGAGTAAAGTGCCTGGTCGTGTTAGCACAAATGAGATATATTCATTAGGATAATATAATATTCTGTATAGAGTTGCAGAGCGTCAACAGTAGCAAGCTAGCGTGAAGTGTCACCTGTTTTCAGAAAACATTTGTCAATTGAACTGGGCTTAAGTGAGTTGATGTAAAGTGAAGCTCTGACCTGTATTCACATGTACATGTTGGCAGGTATTGACTAACGGGAGCTGTGAAGAGCGGAGGAGCCATGCCTTTCCTCCATGGGTTTCGTAGGATCATCTATGAGTATCAGCCGCTGGTAGATGCTGTCATGTGTGTTGTTGGACTGGAGGAAGGAAACGGAAGTCCCGAGGAGAGGTAATACTAAAGCCACAGTATTATCTGTTTAATTATGCAGTTGTGTGCATAAATGTGTACAGTATGTTTTACCACCAAGTACAGAATGCATCTGACAGACACACTGGTGGCATTTCATACAGTTTGAATGAAACAGTGCTGATACCTGCTCTTGTGTCCAGAGTCAGAAGCCCCGAGGATGAGCCGGGTGTATGCAGCTCTCTGGCCGAGCTTCTGGAGCGGGAGTCCCAGTCTGAAGTGTTTGTGGAGGGCATCAGCTATGCTCTGTTTAAGGTGGCAGAGCGGGGGCTGGTGAATGCGGCTGAAATCCTTCTACGCTATGGAGCTGATCTAAACTTTGAAGGTAAGTAATCATATGTGAGTGGGCTTTAAATTCAATGTACAAGCATTTAATACAATTTCAAAGCATCTAAAATTGGAGTAGCCAGCCAGAGCACTTGTCCTGCAGTGCACCATGCATAATGCAGCATTTCTGTCACTCTGAGTTTACAAGGGCTTGTTTAAAAATTCAGTGTTGGGTGGGCTGTATTAATCATTTTAAACTGAAGTACAATCTTGTCTTGCTGGCAATTAATACTATCACTGAAAATGGGTTTACTTGGTTACACTTTCTCTCCATCTAGGATTTACAATAACAAGAGGCGTATCATTTCTAGTAATAGACCCCAATTAAACAAGTTGATGGCCACACTGAAGGTGACTACAGATGTAAATCTTTTTCCCAGTGGGACATATATTTCTGCCGTGCTGGCCAGTAACTCACTTTCTACACTAGCTCCCATCATGCTCCAGTTTTATTGCAGTTTTATTGGGTGATGAGTCTCTGCTACAAGCACAACAACCCCTCATGTGAATTCATAAAGAAAATGACATGACAGAAAAAGCATGCATGCACCTGCCATTTTTTTTACACAAGGAGCTGCATACTGTAAATTGAGCAAGTTGTCATCTATATACACTTGAGAGAATAACTCTCCCTAAAGCAAATTGCAGTGGAAAGTGCAGCATGTCTTGTGGCTGCAATGAAACCTGCCAGGGCTCTGCCAGATTCTGCTGTGGTGACCTCTGGTGGTAATAAAAATGTCTTTCCCCAGGGACATTTCGGGGATCCTAAGAAGAGGCAGAGGCTGCTTCATTCATCTTTTACATTTCTTGAATGCCTCTTTCCAGCAAGTTAACACTGACAAATTCTCCCACATAGAATGCAGAAATGTTCGAGTTTCTCTATTCATGTTCAAGTATTTGTCATCGTTTGCCTTCATGTTTAAGAATAGATTGTGCCAGCTATCTGACAGGCAGTGTGCTGAAGCAAGAGTTTGTATAGTTATGACGGTTATAAGCAGGTGTATTTATTTATTTATTTATTAGTTTATTTGTCAGGGACAATGTTAAAAAAAACAAAAAACATTGGAACAGGTTACATCAACATGAAACAGATGTACATTACAACATTAACATTAGTTAATTTGAGCACATAATAGTAACATTCTCATACATGTGACGTGATAATATAAAATTACAATATTAACATCACATTTCAATCATTTTACATGTTTTCCTTCCTACATGTGCATGCATGTGTTTGTGTTCCCTAATTTAATGGCAAGATATGTGTCTTTATGAGTAAGTATGTATCTGTCTATGCATATCTGTTCCTCTCTCTGTGTGGATGTGTCCCATTTGCGTGTGTGTGTGTATACCAGTGCATGATCAGAGATCAGTGATGGCAGGTTTGTGTGTTTTTTACGATCAGATTGTTTTTTTTATTTCCGTTAGTAGGGCATTCTAAAAATGTATTTGTTTTTTGAGAAAAGAAGACTGACCGATGGTAGTTTGCATTGTGCCACCCTGAAATTGCCATTTGCTGATCCCCGAGTGGCTCTTCTATTGGTATTTGTTTTTGTGACATATGGACAAAGTGCAGACGAGGCGAGATTGTTCATGCATTTAAAAATCAATTTGATAAAAGAAAACTCGATCAAGCTGTTGTTGTTTGTATAGTGACAGTTGACCGTTTGGCTTGGCTCCATACAGTAACACAACATGATAAATGTGAAAGTATGGCATGCGTGAATAGTTGAGCTGCCTTGAAGGGGAGCTATGCCCATTTTCAAAATTCATACATGTTATTCCTGTGATCTAAAACAGTCCAAAAATATTAGTAAAAATGAACAACTCTCCCAAATCCACATAGATTGCTAAAACTCAAAGTCTGGAGCTGCTCCATAGACAATGAATTGGGAAAGATGTTATAAATGATAGTGAGAGCACCCAGGGGAATGTATATGGAGTATATGGGGACTTTGTCTGTTTCAGAACTGACAGCACTATAATATAATACATCTTATTGCCGTATAAAAAGAAAACAAACATTCTGTGAGTCCCCAAAATCAGGCTCCCATTCAGTGTATGTGGAGCAGCTCCAGACTTTATACTTGATGGCATTAGAAGTTTGAGACTTACTTCTCTGAGAGAGATGAAACATGTTCACAAATACTGATTAAACTTTCCTAGGCCATGAAATAACATATTGGAAGTCTAAATTTTGGTGATGCTCCCCTTTTAATGGGTATGTAATGCCATATAATTGTAAAACAGTTTATATTCTGTCTTGTATCTTCATCAAATTTGAGTTGGGAATCCAAAATGACACCAAGAAATTTTAAATCACAGACTTCCTTTACTTCCTCTTGATCTGTTTTGATTGTAAGCCTGTCTTTTGCTTTCCTTCTCGTGTAAAAACAAATTGCCACAGTGTTTGTAAGATTCAGATTGAGCCACTGAGATACCACATCTGTTTCATTTGTTAATATCTGCTGTTACACAGGGGATTTTATGTTATATATATAAATGGCTGTGTCATCAGCGTACATTTGAGAACTAACCGTTTTGTACTTAATAATCTGGATGCCAATCTTAATGTGTACATGAAAGAGAAGTTGTCAGTATTATATACAGTGGATGCACACAGTAAGTATCAATCAGTTCTTGTGCCACTGAGAAAACACAGTCAGGTACAGGTGTCGTTCTGTTACATGTAAAACTGAGAATTAACTTTTAATGTTTATTATCTGCTTTTATACTGTATTGCTGCCAGCTGCAGAGGATGAGAGAGCCTAAAACACAACAGCTTGAGAAAAGACTTTCAAACATTCACCAGTATGTTAACACATATGCTGTCTTTAAGGCACTTGGTAAATATATAAAATATATAAAACACAAGAAAATACAGGAAACATTCTTTCACAAAATCCCTTCAAACATATGCACTGGGTTAGAGCCAACAGACCACCATAGTCAGCATTATACAGCAGGTTGTGTCTCTGCCCAGACACATTTAGAGAAAATGTAGTATTGTCAGAAATCTTCATCTGTCTGATTTAGATTTAATCTGCGTGATAAGATTCAGTTTGTTTATTATGATTTTTTCTCCTCTCCAGACCCTGTGTCTTACTACAATCCTCTGCATATAGCAGTTTTAAGGAACAGGCCAAACATGGTGAGGCTGCTGGTCGGGCACGGAGCAGACATCGAAAAGAGAGACAGGGTGAGGCAACTGTCGAGCTTCATGATTCAGGATTCATGTCCTTTTTTTGTTCTTGTGTTCTTCTCTGTAGTCTTACATGTTTATGTAAATAGAGTGCCCCAGGAATGAGTTACAAAACCTGGAAATGAGTTAGATTTTCACCACTCCTGGTTCCCTTATCATGAAGTCAATGGGTTTTTGGATGGGTTTTTGGTTAGATGCCTGAAATAAGGTCTGTAGTAAAGACAAGCTTTAGAGACTTTCACGTTTCGTTCTACGACATAAAATACATCATTAAATACACTACTCGTTTATTTTGATGCCTTTGTGTGTCTTAAAAAAGGCGGTTCCTAACAAGTTGCTAAATGACACTACAGAACATCATCACACCGATGTGGCTTTACATCCGTGCTGTGGGAGCGACGTCAAGTAATGTGACTGTGGTGTAGTTCTTTTATAGCCTAACATTAGCTTTTCACCTCTGGTGATTGCAGTTAAGCTTCAAAAATCATGTGTTGTTCATTCATGAAGATTATCTTGCTGAACATTGTAAGTAACATGAATGTTCGTTTGCCACAGAGCTAATTTTTTGAAATGATCCAAAATCCAATCAAAAAATCCTATAGGCCTTTTGACAAGAGAACCAGGGCAATGCTAACTTCCACATCGGCTGACAGAAAAACGTCATCCCTGGAGCACTCTGTAATATCAGTGTTTCTTGGTAGATCCATGAGAGCAGTCCTTTGGATCTTGCCAGCGAGGAGTCTGAGAGGCTCTCCTGCCTGCTCACCCTGCTGGACCTGGGTGCTGATGTGAATGCAAGTGATAAAAACGGTACAGTTACTTTGCCTGGCATAATTCAAAAATGATAATTCTGTCACTCAATCATTTTTCCGAAAACTCATTGCTTTGGTTTCGTCTCCAAAGGTAAAACGCCTTTGCTCCATGCCTTGGCTAGCAGCGATGGACTCACTGTGCACAACACAGAGAACATCCAGCTTCTACTTCAGAGAGGTACTAACTGTGAAACACCCGTCATCTTCACTTTGCCCTCTTGTCCACTTTTGGTCATTCAAATATCCTCTCAAACAGAATCACAGTCAAACCACTACAGTGAGAAACTTGAGTTAGTATGCATGCTTGTGCACATATGTGCGTTCTGAGATCAAAGTGAACTGTCAGTGCTTGTCAGGCCAAAATATGCACATACACTTTTTAACACGAGTGAAAATGGAGCAGAACCACTCCTGTGATCCAGGCATGAAGCAATGACAAGATTTTTAAATGCAGGATGTTAAGATTTCACATTATCATCAATCTCCTTAGTATACTCGTAGTTTCATGTACAGCATTACAGCAGGCGGCCCTCATGTTGACTTTGCCTCATGATCTTATTTTCTTTTAGGTATTTACAACCAGCGTACCCTGACACAAAATGGCTGCACAGAAACCAGAGTATTGAATATAAGCCAGTGACATTAATATTCCTTACAAAAGAATTAATATGCAGAAGAGTTGCATACGATCACAGGCATTGTTAGTGTTAGTAAGTCCTCAGATTTCATAATGTTTGTTTTTTTTGTTTAGTTTTTTTACAGAGCCAGATCTTGTAAAGGGAATTTTCTCAAAGGTAATTTTGTGCTTGGTTGGTATCACAGTATTACGGAATACCAGGGTATTTAGAAATCCTGATATGATTTTGACTGTACCATCAAAAATACAGAAGCTTGCATTACTATTAGAGTCTTACTGAGATGCTGTGTTGAGTATATATTGTATGTAGTGCACAGCACGTGCCACCAGATCTAAGTCTTTACTGGTGGAACAGGCAGCTAAGCTGACAGCGAGAAGTGGGGATGATGTTACAGGACTGTAAACAGCTGCAACGGCAGAGCAAGACCGCGGGTCGCCAAACATTAAACATATATCATGTAACCCAGTGAAATTTCTGGAAGGTATGAAAAAATAGATAGCGCCCAAGCCTGGTTCTACAGCTAGACAGATTTACAGTTTTTCAGAATGGAGTCTCTTGGTTGTGACCATCACAAACATAAGTGCCCACTGTACATTAAAAGGCAGCAGCGAAGCCAGTTCTCACAACAGCCACAAAGCTTTGTCAGGTTTGAAAAGATACCCATGATGTCACAGGGATGTCATCAGGTGTATCTCAGCTTGGAGACTTCAGATTTTATAACGGAAAGCCTGTGTTACAAACTGGGGGTGTGGAGTTGAAAAACATCTCGTTTACCAGACAGAGTGGGTGTAATGAAAGATGCTATCAAGATGAATTATAGGAAATGTTGGAACCAGTGTTTTTTAGAGTATTTAGTCATACTAGCAACTAAAAGAAAGGATATCTCATATCCTAGTTCTTGGATTTTTACCCTATCTTTTTTAGATTTGATTAGCAAGTCCCCCTACTTTATGGAGGTACTATAGTGCTGGGATACACCTTTAATGTACGCAGCAAAGGCTTCTTTTAAAAACAGTAACCAATAAATGCTCTATAGTGTTGTTTGTTTTAAAAGGGACCTAAATCATTACTCGTTTATCAAAAGACTCTTTGATTAATATTGTCTGTTGACACATTTTCATTATTTTAATGACACTATCGAAGGCACATTTGCTCTAATGTGCAGTAATTAACTGATTTCAGTTTGATGTGATGTGTTTTGAGTGATGCTTTCTTCACCACAGGTGCTGACGTTAATGCTGCTACTGTAGACTGTGAAACAGTCGAGTCATCGTTGGTGTTTCTGGTTAAGGAGGCTCTTGAGGCCAGTGCAGAAGATGCTGCTGAGATCGGTAACTTTTGCTTGAAAACCACGCGGCTGCTGCTGGCTCACGGTGTGGACCCCAGCTGCTGTCTGAACGAGGATGGCGAGCCCTCCCTGACACAGACGAGCCTGGAGCACTTTGACCTGCTCTACCCTCTGGCTGTGCTCTTAATCCAGAGCGGAGCCTCTATGGCTTGCACCTATCATGGCGACTCATGCTGGTCAGGTTACAACCTCCTTTTCCAGCGGCTCCAAACAGCCCTGCAGCAGTGCCCTGATCAGAGTCACGCCTCCGAGCTGCTGGAGCAAGCTGAGGTGTTGCTCGACTTGGCGCGAGTAGATGACCCCATGCTGATTCATCCTCTTGGGCCGGAGCTGCCTGTGCCCGCTGGGGACCCTCACCCCTATGCTCAGGCTCTGGTAGACCTGCACAAACGCACAGTAGAGCGTGAAGCGAGCCCCCCTGCTCTGCGATGCCTTTGTAGAGCATTCATAAGGAGCCACCTACAGCCTTGGCCCCTGGAAGACAGAGTCAAAGCCCTGCCATTACCAGACAGACTGAAAGACTTTATTCTTCCTGAGTACACATATACACCAAAGCCTGGCTGGGAATGCTTCAAGCCCCAACATAGCCAGCGCTGATGATACAAGCTACTGGTTGGGTTTCTACCTGAAATCTAAAGTGAAAGACTGAGCAGGCCTGTAATAATTTGAATACGTTGTCTGAGCATTCGTCGATAAGTGCTCCCTAACAAACCATTGAGGCCTTTGTGTAATTTTTATTGTAATCGTCTGTGCCAAATTTACAGACATGTGTGATTGTTTACTGGAAGACGTTAAGTTATCTGTGCAAATTAAGTTTTCACTGCTATGATTAAACTGCTGTACAGTCCAGTGAGTCATATCAATGTGGAAAGGGAGCTGCAATACAAAATAAAATCCACCAGATGGCAGTGTAGATCTTGCATCTCAACAGCAGCGCCGATGTCAGGGTCAAAGATTTAGTTATTCACAGTGCAGCCTATTTAAGTTGTTCCAGTGCAGTGGGCTCCATCTATATTTTATCTCCTCAACATGATGGTGGTGTATTGTGGAAATTGTGTATCTTCTCGCTTAATGTAAGGGTGGACCAATAAAACAGCTGTGTGTCTCACAAAGTGTCCTGGTCGCCTGTTATATCTTGTCATATCAGTTCGACATTATTTTCTGTTTTTCCGCATGTTACTGTTTGTAAGTGACCAGGTAGTGGCAGTGCAGTGCTGAATGTGACTCTCAACCTCACTGGCTACCTATTTATAGTAGAATAATTGCTTCATATTTACCTCATGGTTGTGTTCATACACCAAACATCAGTTGAGCGAATGCTAAAATAAAGAAGCAGGAATAAAATGCTACAAAACAGCAGGAAGCCTGTAGATGTTTTGACATGGTTCCACTGTGACATAATGTAGCTGCAATGGCTGCTGGCGTGGAAAGTTCTACCGAGCATTCTTAATGCTGATGTTTAAATTCAGATGAATTTAGGGCCCCTTTCCTCTTTTTCACATGTACAAAACCCCACTCTGTACATCCCGTCTTTGGAAATAAACAAACAGTGCCTGGAAGAAACATACTGCGATGGTACGGGAACACCAAAGGGTACATATGTGTTTGCGTCCATGCGTGTGTGTGTGTGTGTGTGTGTGTGTGTGTGTGTGTGTGTGTGTATGTGTGTATGTGTGTGACGAGCAAACTAAATAGGACATTGTGTTACACAACTAACCCCTTCCTGACATTGCTGAAGCTGGAGTGGCTCCAAGGCTTGCAAGCGCTCCAGCTCCTCTTGGTTATCTAGGTCACAGCCTCTGAGGAGAAGAGCCTCAGCAGCAGCAGCAGCAGCCCTGCATGACACACGCTTCACTCTCCTGTCTGTCTGAATCTCTTGACAAAACCTCAACACTGGCCCTGGTCGAATGAGGGAGGGAGGGAGGGGGTTGCAGGAGGCAGAACAGTGAAAAAAAAAGTTAGAGAGACGGCATATGTGGAATGGTTGTGAGAGCGCTCATGGAGGACACATGGAAATGGAAATGGCAACGTTGGATTACATTTATACAATACACGAGCTGCAGGAACATAATCCACCCAACCAACAATCACAACACTGGGAAGAAAAAAATACAGCCTTCTTCCATAGAGTCCAATCCCTGCTTGTAGAAGGTGATAGAATAGAGATAGTGGGGGGAGGGCTAAGGCAGTACTCTCCATCCAGCATTTATTGGAAAACAGTGCGAGTGAAGCTCGGTACTGAAATTAGTTATTGATCTATTCTCTCCCTGAAGCCCATGGGTCTTTCCCACCACACCTGCTCATTCTCTCACAGCCCTTTCTTTCCCTGCAACCCATTGTGTCTCTCAACCTCTGCTTCGCTAGCTTCTGCGCGTTTTTGCTGGTGTTGTAGGTCTGTTATTTTCTTCGAATCATCTTGTCACATGAAGAAGTCATTCCAGAATAAGATCTCGATAGTAACGTGATATCTACCAGAAAGTTTGGTATTTACAAGCTAAAATTATAATGTGTTTTGGAGGGCAACAAAGAGCTTTAGACTGACATAGTAACAGTTTTAAATGCTTTATAGGCAGCAAAGTATACAAAACAATTCCAAAATAGACTATTTTGAAATGAATAGCTTATATAATATCCCTGGTATGTTCCCCTCTATTCAAAATTCTTTATTTCAGTTAGTCACTTCTTTAAATCATCTTCAACAGGCAGTCCACAATTCATAGGGGGTCCTCAGAGGTATTGTTTGGTAATTTAATTTACGTTTGTTTGTTTTATTCCCTTTGTATGCCTGAAAATACACATTAAAGGGATAGTTCAGATTTTTTGAAGTGGGGTTGTATGTGATATTTATCTATTGGTAGTACATTACATACAATAGATGTCAGTTGGCACGCCCCCAGTTTGAAAAGGCAGGCTGGAGTCCGACATGGAAACTTAGCAATGTACTGCTGTGGAGGGAGTCAGCAACAAAATGTATTTTAGCCACCTAAAACAATCATTATCAGTTTAAGCGTACACTATATATTGTCAGACAGTAACTTCCAACAGGAAAATTAAGCCATTACATCACTCTCTTCAAAGCCAGACTCCATTAAGAAAAACAGTGATTTAACATTGCTGAACACAGCAGCTGCTGGCTGTCCTCTGCCTCAAATTGTTGTTTTGGTTGTGTTATCGTTTGACTTCGGCATGTAAAGGGGTTAGTTCAGATTCATCGAAATCTCACAATAACACAAAATAACTAAGTGATCAAAGCAGTGACAGAGCAGCAACTCCCATGTTTAGTGAGCTAAAATTACTGTTTTTTTTTTTCAAAGGAGTCTGGTGGTTTTGACGAGTGCATAGATGGGGAACTGTGGCGGCTTCCCCGTCAGAACGAGCTGTCTGACAAACAGGTAAAGCAGTGAAAATACTCTCAATATAGCATACACTTAAACTGCTGCTGATATTTTTTAAGTGGGACTTTTTTAGGTGGCAATGTACGCTTTGTTGGTCACCCCCATCCAAAGCAATACATTGCTGAGCTTCTGTGTCAGACTCTGCTTCTCCAACTGGAGGCATGCCGACTGACATCTACAGTATGTAATACAGTGACTATGGATAAGCACTCCGTTCAACCCCACTTTAAAAAATCTGAACTATGCCTTTAACATAAATCCAACATTTTACTAGCTAAAATAAATTGGCCTATCACTTTGCAACACCTGTACATGCCAGCAAGGCAAACTAGTTAGCTAAGTATTACACACTGTTGAAACATTGGCCAGTTAGCTGTATTATTATTGAAAGTGTACGGACATTCTTGTGAGGCACAATGGATCATTTTATAACTTTTCAAGCAAAAGACTCATCTGAAGTATCAATATATGAATCTGCCAATAATTATTGTAACAGCTTAGTGCTGTATGCACCATAAAATGGTATGTTTATATTGTAAATGGCCACACTTCTTGTTATTGTAGGCCCAGTTGAATATGCAACTCAATTTTATAAAATACATAGTATGTAGTAGGGTGTCCCTGCTCCGTCTCTCTCTCAGCTAAGGGGTCCTTGGCCTGAAACACACTGAAGACCCCTGCTTTAGTGAATCTGTTTTCCATGTTAAGCAATGGTTTGCTATTTTCATTCATGGTCTTAACCAGTCCCTGACACCATCATCATCTTCAGCAGTACAGACTATAAAAGCTTCATGTCATACTTTAGAAAACATAAAATGCAGTACAAGGACATTTATTACCAAATGGTGGAGTAGATATTTTGAAGGATGAACTCATAAAATGTCATTTTAATTGATATCACTTCATAAAAGTAAGAGGCTCTTTAGTGAGATAGAAATGAACTACTCCAATGCAGCCATGAGCATAAAACCCGGAGAGATAATCCAGTTTTTATTTTATAAATCTGGACAATAAAAGCTTTAATTTGGAATTCACTTGAATTATTTCAAAAATAATGTTGTTTTCTTTCACATTGGTGCTTGTTGGCTGAGTCTGGCCCAAACCTTTTCATTAACCACCACGTCACCAAGTGAAAGACATTGTGGTGTATACCAGGCCTTTTGATCTATAGAGCGCAGCCTGCGCAAAATGTGCATCTCCTTGTCTTTCAGTAGACATTGTCTAGACACGGGATGATTGCAGACATCACTGAACACTCAGCTGCTGCCTGAAAACCCCATGGGAGTTGAGGTGGACTTTGGAGGGAAATGGCCAGCAGTCAGTGTAGGGGGGGTGTGTGTGTGTGTAGTGGGGGGGTCACACGCGCACCCCCTTTAGATTGTGTGTTTATGTGTTTGCCAATACATCTACAGAACATGCTGTATTTGTTTGCTGGTGTAAAGGCAAGCGTGGACTCAGATCCGTGTGTGTGTGTGTGTGTGTGGGAGAGAGAAAGAGAAAGAGAGCGCAGACGTTGAAACACACAGTGTTCATAACCGCAGATGTGGTGACTTCATCAGAAAAAAATGCACCCCATCCTATTGCTCTGCTAGCGTTGATGGAGCTCACTGAAATTAATGGCTGTTAATGTGAAGAAGAATAAAACCAAACTCTCTGGGTATCAACACTCTTGCTTGCTTCCACACAGTATATTTTATCTGCTCTAACATTACTGTTGTTTGGCTAAGGCAGTGCTAAATGTGGAGCCTTGACTGGGTGTGTGTACTGTGGGGGGTGTTGGTTGGTGTGTGAGAGATGGTCGCAGGTCGCCGGGTTCACCTAGGGCATGGGACTAATCTCAGTGGGGGTGGATTGGATGCAGGATAACTGAATCCTGTTGGGACAGGCCACCTTCGCATTCTGCTCCAGGTGTTGGTTCCTCCTTTAGATTGACACATACTGACTGTTGTCCTCACCAGTCTATCATTGGGCTTAATTCTGTAAGATTTGTGTGTTCATCTGTTTGCTAGATCCATTTAGGTGAAAGCATGTCAAGATTTAAATACATAACTTGTTGGGAAAGGGTGAGAGATTTTCATTTTCACAATAACCCTACTTCTTTCTCTACTTTTATACTATCTTAAACATCTTTTGCGTAGATACTATACTAGGATGTGTTTCTATGTGGCAGTAGTTTCTGTTAATCTTAGGTGTTGTTGTTTTTCAAATCTCTTTGGAAAGAAAACTGCTCCAACAAGTAACCACATTGCCTCACACTGAACACAAAGCTGTTCTTGCTCTTTGAAGGGGGAATCATTTGAAAGCGCAGCACACCGAAAAGTTACTGTTCCGTACTCCAACTCCTATTTTAGAAGCACACGAATCCACCACCCTCTACATTTCTACAACTGACGCCATTTCACAGAAATTCCAGACAACTGGCGCCTGAGCTCTGCCTCAAGAAGGACATGATGAATAGGACACACCCTTGGTATGCTAGTGAATGGTAGAATATATGGCACACTGCAGTGTTACAGCCTAGATTCATTACAGCCTCTCTCTTTCCTAGCTTTTTAGAGTGTCGTTTTCTCTGCCTGTTCTCTCCCCCTGCGTTTCATGCTGCTCGCCTATTTTTAAAAAGCTTGAATTTGAGTGAAATGCACTGAGGCACCAGTAAGGCGAGCTACAGCTCTTTCCAGCGCTGGTTCCTGATCCACCTCTTTGTTGTGGTCTATGCA